ATATATATATATATCCATCTATCTTTGTACCTACACACGCATACATACACATACACACACGCACACATAAACACACACGCATACGAGCGATAATATAAGCAAACGGACACACCCACAAACATATTTACAAACGTACAACCACCCACATACACTCATAAACACACACACACACATGCACACACACAAACACGCTCACGTGTGGACACGCACACAAACAAACACACGCATGTACGCACACACAAACACACACCCACAGACATATCTACAAACGTACAACCACCCACAGACACACATAAACACACACAGATAAACACTCAGACCCACCCACCCACGCACACACACACACACATACACACACACACACACCCACACACCCACACACCCACACACACACACACACACACACACACACACACACACACACACACACGCAGACAAACACACACCCACACCCACACTTAGACCCACCCACCCACACACAAACACTTAGACCCACCCACCCACACACAAGCACTTAGACCCATCCACCCACACACACAAACACGCACGACATATCAACCCAACCCTTGTGCGAGGATATTTACCTCTTGTTCAAAAGGTCTCTTTTCAGGACAAGGGGGCTGACCCAGATTTCGGGGATTTCCAGAAATCTTGACCTACACCAAAAGTGGGCATTGCCCTGTACCTATAGAAGAAGTTTGGTTTCATTGGTGTGTATATGTTGTTTGGTTATAGGGAACACTCTCCTTGTCTTTTAATTAAACTGAACAAGGGGCAAAAACTTTACCTTCGATTTTCTCATTACAGCATTTTTCAGGATAGCTCACCTGTCCTTTTAAGCGACCACATTAATGTACATGTCTCTTCTTTGTTCTTCCTACCGTTTCTAACTCCCGCCCAACACGAACATCCTTCTTGTGCTTCCACCGGTCAATCAACTCACCGATATAATAGCCCGCCTTTCATCCCTGCATCTCATTTAGTCCTGTGATATTATGCTGCAAGTTTCCCAGACTACCACGAAATTATCCGCCCCTTAATAACGCCCATTTAAATGGGCGACATCATCGTGAAATCAGGCACTGGTCAAAATAAGGAAATCCAGGAAACAAAATTAAATATACTCATCAATGAAACCAAAGTTCTCCTACAGGTAGGACAATGCCCACCTTTGGTGTAGGTCAAAATTTCTGGAAACCCCCGAAACATGGGTTAGCCCGCTTGTCCTTAAAAGCGACCAATTTACCCACGGCGCATCGCCGTAGCACGAAACACTTAAGGGCGTATCTTGGTAGCACGGAAAAGGCAGAAGTTGGATTCCCGTTTCGTGTGAGTTTTTGAAATCGGGTGTATATCCATCTATCTGCAAGGATGATATGTGAGGCATGGAGGCGAAATCAGGCGCTCGTCAAAATGATGAAAGTCAAGAAACTTGCATTTGTCCGTGGGGAATTTTAATCGATCAACACTTTCTATGCTCTTTAAGGAACACATTTCTGCTTGAATTTTACAGAAAAACGTTGATTAAAGACATAAAAGATGTAAATTTCTAGTTTCCACGGACTGCTTTGGCGGCCATTTTCTCGCTAATTTTACATCTTAAACCAGGCGATCCCAACTTCCTTCAATCTCCAATATCTTGACTTGTATCTAAGATAAATGGATAGTTTTTTCCATCAGAACCAAGCAAATTGACAGGCTTTAAGATGATACCATTTACTCCATATTTCCCCAAATTTACGAGCGCCTGATTCCACCGCGTCGCCGCACATAGATCCTTTTCAGCCCGGGTTGGTCCTGACAGGCAAGGTTGAAGAAAGCCCGCCTTCTGAGTTAACTAAATTGTGTCCATTGGATGTACACCCTTTATAACTACAATTACACTAAGTGAACCTCATGTGAGACATGGAATCTTTAATTCAACCTGCCAATAGTTAATAAGATAAGATAAGATAAGATAAGATAAGATAAGATAAGATAAGATAAGATAAGATAAGATAAGATAAGGTGTTTAAAAAAGAGGACCAATATAAAAAGGACAATAACTGCATCCTCTTTGCATCAATTTAATAAAACTTGAAACTTGAAAAAATTCTTTTTAAAAAAGAAGAAGAAGACGCTAGATTTGCCAAAATAAAGAAAATCAATTGTCGTGTTCTAGAAATATCACGTTTTTTTCAAATTTCACCCAAAGTTAATTAAAATGCAAAACTTTACTTCTTAACCCAATCCGTAGGTCGTGTTTTACTATTGTATCCATACGACGTGGGGAACTCTGAGCCACCAGTTTCCAAAGAGGAAATGTACTCGTTAATCCGATCTGTACGCTTTGCATAACAGTCTGTCAAAATGATTTTTTGAGAAATACTGAAAGCTTAAAAGAGATCTCAGTACTAGAAGTATTCTAAAACGGGAAGAATACAACCCTGGGGGGTACAAAATAACCCCAGGGCGTACAGCTGTTAGGGATGTGGTCTGGACAAAGATAATAAAACCACGACCGTCACTTCAGACAGATATCTCAAAGTGTTCAGAAAATATTGGACCACTTTGGGGACGAGAAGAGGTTGCTCTGTTCAGGAGGGCTAGTTGCTGCAGTGTAGAGGCCACACACCATACATCAAGAATGGTCGCTGCATGGTTGTAACACATGTTTGGGAACGCCTTGTGAGCCGAAAGCTTAGAAATGAATGTTCACTGTATTGGAATGATTTGCACTCACTGGATTTATCCCTTGATATTTTTCGTGACAGAAACAGGTTGTCTGCAGAAACAACACAAAAACAAACGTTAAGCTCAATGCTCCTTCTTTCCTATCAAACATCCATCATGCTGATCTCTCCTCCTTCTTATTTTTATGTTTGTTACTGTCTTGTAACACCTCTAATCTTCGGCATTTATATTACCTTATTGTGTTACAAGTGCCGTAAAACTCTTACTAAAAAACCACAAAACAACCTCAATGTAGGACATTAGGTGCAGTCCAAATAACTGACCTAAATAACGGACCAAAAACCATGTCACAGGGTATTTCAAGCCTTCCATTAACGTCTTCCGGCAGCTTGTGGGTGGTGAGATGTGGGTAACACCTGGAGCATACAATCTAAATAGCCACCACCCTCCCAGAGTTTATTTGACAACGTCAATTTTGTAAATTTTTTTCTTCTACGCATGTGTGCAGTATGGTCGAGTTGTAAAAAATTGCTGGGTTTTTATTTTGTTTTTATTTTTGTTTTTCTTTCCACTCTTTGGTTTGAAAGTGTAAAAACGATATTTATCGATCAAACGACTCTATTTTCCTCCTGCTGACAAATTTAACATTATCGTACTGAATTTTTTAAAATTTAGTTTTTGTAAGAGTTTTACGGCACTTACAACACGATAAGGTTACATACGTGCCGAAGTTTAAAGGTGTTACAAGAGAGTAACAAACACAAAAAAGAAGGAGAGGAGATAAAGACAATAGATGTTTTTGGAGAAAAAAGAAGCTAACCAAACCGGAGCACCTACCAACCACCCACGAATCTTGTTAGTTTTGAGTTTTGTTAAACTTAGTCCAAAGATGACCGAGTTAATGGACCTTGAAGTAGTCCTTGGACACACCATATTATCTGATTGTTATACGTGTTCGTTTTTATGCTTTATGAGGAAAAGAATGTCTACTCTTAAAAGATGTCCGGTATTCTCAATTTTATGAATGTTTGATGTCAGCTCAGCTAAGCTTTTGTTGCTTGTTTGTTTTTGGGTTTTTTGGCTGCTTTCACAACAAAAATAAATGATATTGTAAAGCTTAGCGAAAAGTAAATTTACTGCGTTCCGCATAACTCTTCCCAAGCAAACATAACTGCAATGATAGAAATGTTCCAGCTGCCTGCCTCTGTAATAGAACCGACGCTTTGCAGGAGTCACTGCTGACGTCACAGCCAGGCAGCAAGCAAGTGACGTAACAGACAGGCACAGAAGTGTCAACCACGTGTGTTGTTCTTGAGCGTGTAACAAGGAGGTGTACTGACAAGGACGTGGAAGACACAAGTAGATGGACAAGATCTCTCAAAAACAATAAAATTGAACCATTTAAATAGGAATACTCGGTAAACTGCAAACTAATTTCAACAAAACTTTGAATCAACCAAAAATATTAGGTGTGTCCCTCGCGCTAATATGACCTTACGCAGTTGCAAGCGCGGTAAAACACTTACCAAAAAACCCCAAAGAGATGGTAGAAATTATTTTTTTTATTTTGCCGGGATGGTTGTTGAAGCTTATTCTTATCAATTTTGGACCATGAAGGGATATTTTAACCAGCGCATCTTGCATCCAGGACCTCCGAGATTTATGGCCCTTTTGCGAGAAGGCTCAGTGTTGGAACTTACCTACCCTACGATCAGGGATGTGGCAGAAAAACAGCAGTAAGAAGCACCCATTCACGGATGTGCTCGCACACGCACACACGCGCGCACACACACACACACACACACACACACACACACACACACACACACACACACACGGGCACACACACACACACACACACGCACACATACACTCTCACACACACACACACACACACACACACACACACACACGTACACACACTATGGGACATACATCCACACACTAACATACACATATATACGAGCACATACCCTGCCACACAAAGACGCGTAATGTGGCCACACTACCACACAGCCACCGATTTACATGCCCCCAGCTATTTGGTCACACTGCCAGTGTCTCCTTGCAGGGGACACGGACGCTCACTTTCTATCTCTGGAATATTGCTTCTTTCCCCCTTTCACTCGGCTCTCAAAAAGAAGAGAAAGCGCAAATGACGGTACTAGACTGTCCTAAAATGACTAGAAAGTACCAGACAAATTGGGATGTCGAGTGAGGCTGAGGTCCGAGACGATGGAGTTTTCGGTCTTAGTGGAAGTACACTATGATTTGCGTGGGCCGTTCCTTGTCTCGACAGATAACTCACCTAACCGTTGCTAACATGGGGAATCATCTCAATTACGTGTGGGAGACAGTGTAGAAAGAAGGAAGGTGCCAGACTCTTTCCCCTACTGACTGTGGCCCAGTTCTCCTCTCAGTGTGTGCATGTTCATCCTCCTGTATGTCCATGTTCCGCTGTTCCGAAATAATTATATCTTCTCTATGGTACTCAGCAATTTTCGAATTTGGTTAAATATTCAAAAGGACGACGTGTGGAAATAGGGTTCGAGTCTCTTTGTGTTAAATCACGTGTCACCTCTACGCCCAATAGCCTAACAGAGAACCACGCACTGCACCTTTTAAATAATAAGAGTCCAAAATGGACAGGTTTTGATAATTTAATTTATTACTCGCCCAAACAAGTGACTAGGCCTTTTTTAATCTTCAAAAAAAGTTTTTCTTTTCTTCTCTTTTCTTTTCTTTTCTTTAACCCTGTCGAAATACAACCCCTCTCATCCGTGTTGATTTCTTGGTAAGATGAGAAAAATATTAAGACTCACCAACTAGTAACTGCATGCCGTTGCACCTCTGGAATAACACGTGCGTTTCTGTGTGGTTGCACAATATTACGTCTTCTATATCTTCCATTTCTACAACACGCACAAAAAACTTTGAACAGCTGCAAAAGATACAGTTGTGTACCAACTGCTGTGAAGTTACTGAACACACAGTGCCACAAATGAAACAAAGAGAGAGAGAGAGAGAGAGAGAGAGAGAGAGAG